TAGAAGCCTGCCCACTAGGATGGTAATTGAATGAATGCTTTAAAATAAACCCTGTGTGCTTCATTTTGACAGATTCTTTGTACATATTTTGGGGAGGGTAACCACATCGGATGTAGTGGGACTGAGGGTGGAGGTAGAACTGAACAGAGGTGTAGTGGGAGCTCCTCACTCTGCAGAGGAGCAGGATTTGGCATGAGTGTTTTTGAAATCTGCATGTAGTTGTTTCAGATTCAACATGGAAATCCTAGTCTAAACTCTAATGATCTATCTGCTCAAACTCTATGCTAAGCAGCTTGGATTATCTGCTATCAATGCCTATAGACTTTTTAGGAGCCTTCCTGATACTATGTTGAAATCATATTTCTGTATTTAGTGACATAGCTTCTACTAACCCTTTGTGGAACTAATACATTATTACTTCTCGGAATTTGTTATGTAGCCAAAGGAATCTTTTCTTGTTTCTTTGTGTACCTACATGGACTGTTTCTTTTTTTTAGTCCCGTAAAGGAGGGATGACTTCCATTTTTGTGCTTTGGAATTGAGCTCTTGAACCTCCTTCTTGGGGAGTTTTCATGCTTTTGCTCATTTTTTCATGGTTACCTGATTATATTTTTTGCTTCCATAGGGTCAATTGGTAGACTCACAATGGTAGCACTTTCATAAATTTGGGGTAATTTTATCCTGTTAGGAAGAGTAAACATTTTAAATATGCATTCACACCACTCTTTCACTCATTCAGTGAACATCTATGGGTCAGATAACTGCTAAGAACTAGAGCTTTTAAAAGAAATGAGAACATCTTTCTATGTTGACAGATAGCAACTGCACTAGTTGGGCTGAGGATTTAATAATATGGGTAACTGATAAACTACTGTGTTGTATACCTGAAACTAATGTAAGATTATATATCAGCTATACGTCAGTTAAAAAAAAAGAAAATTTTCTGAAAGTTTGCTCAATATTCCTTCTTTAGTTGCTGTTTTTAGAAAATGTATAATAGTATATAAAATAAAATTTAGGTGGAGAATCTATCTTATTTGCTAGAATGGGCAAATATATCTTTTGATTTACATGAAAATCATGGGGTGACTTTGAGATTGGGGTAGGGAGAGGAATCAGATAGAGACATTGCCACCTAAATAGGGTGATAAGTTGTGTCTTAAATAGTACTCAGAACCCAAATGCAAGAGTAATATTTCAGTCATACTTCCTTTTTTGAATCTCATGTGTAATAGAAGTCACAAACATGCTGATGACCCCAGCACAGAGGGCTAGTTGAGGAATCTAGGGGAAAATACAGGTAAAGTGGGACAGGATTTTTATGAGATGAGCATTTGCTCATTTGAAAAGTTGACTTTTGGGCTTCATGTTTTGAGCAATCAGCATGGTGCTCCCTTTCAGCGATTATTTCAAAGGAGATAATATTTTCAGCTTTTGTTGTCTTTGAGAAGCAACCACTGTAATATTATACCATGGTGTTGAGAGCAATGAAGGCAGGGAAAGGACATCTCTTTTTAGCTTTGCCCAAGGCCTGTGGTTGGGTCTTCCTCATCCTGGTGTAGACAGAGGAGATGTAGAGAGAAGCCTCGTGCTCATTAATGGTGAAGTGTGTCCAGACTGCCGCTCCTGAGGGTTGAGTTTCAGCTTCCGGCAAGGACGTGAGGAGGTTTATGAACCTTACTGTGAACTGCTTTTTCTTTCCAACTTCTGAAGGGCAGTCTTCATTCAAGCCCAAGAGGAAGGAGGCAAATATAGTACAGCTTTCTCTTCTGCAGTCTCCATGATGAGTGAGTGGTGAAGCTGCAGGATTTCTAGTGGGAGATAACACTGAAAGGTGTCTATTCAGTAACAAGGACAAGGAAAAGGCAACAAGCAAATTATAAGGTCTGTATAAAGACCTGGACTGTAGGGGGTTGTGAAAATTGTTTCTCTTGCATAAGTTAACGCCTGCTTTGAAATCTTAGGTACACTTCTAGAGCTGCTCTGTGGCTAACACAATGTTAGGAGGAGATCTCTTAATCCCCATATAGATCAGTATCTCTCTAAAATAAATCACTTGCCCTTTTTCTACCTAATGTTGTAGGGGATGGCTTAGGAAACTAACCCTCAGATTTGAAATGTCTGGAAACTTCTTCTCTACTTGACATTTTTGAATTTTACTTAGCCCTGCTGGTCTTTTTAGCTTTCTCAAAGGAAATGGATTGTATTTTGCTACCTTCACCACTGAAGTGCAAATATAATCATTGTCATTTTCTTGTCTTTTGGAGTATATTTTGATTGAAATAAGTAGACAGTGTAGTTTTCAAAGTTCTAACCACAGTGGTTTTTTTCTACATTCAGTAATTCAAGTTCTTTCTAGGCAATTACAGAATTTTTCAGTCAGTCAGTAAATTTACAAAGCGTCTATCATGCATTTAGTGCAAGGAACTGGAGCATACAAAAGAAATTTGAGGCACAGCTCATGTCTTCATGTAGGTTGCAGTATTTTCAGACAAATAAAATCAAGTCAGAGGAAACAAAGAACAATTAAATGTTCAACTTTGCAGTATTCACTATAGGAGCCACATGTAAGCGAATACAGAATATAGATGAATGAGTGAATGAATGAAAAAAGTAGTCGTTCAAGGAAGAAATCACTGTGGGCTAGCCTTTGTCATGGAGCAGATGGGATGTGAGCAGAGCCACAAAGGTTGAATAGAATTTGTCAGGAAGAGAGAATTGGAAGAAAGACATTCTCTAAAGAGAGCAAAGGTAAAACGGTGAAGCATGGCATATGTTTGGAAAATGAGAGAAGAGACCAGGCTGACCCAAGAGCAAACTTAGTATGTATACGGTAGGCATAAAAAAATAAAGTTGGGCATATCCCCTTCTTCCTTGCTAGGTGAACCTCAGTTTTGTTCCCACTCCTAAGAGGTGGATCATGATTGGTTTAATCAACTCATGACAATTCTATTTCCTACCTTCCCAGCCTCCTTTGCAGGTAGGAGAGCTCTGTGACCCCATTCTGGCCAACCTTCAGAATGCTCGTGGCATTTTTGGAAATGTTTATTCTCTTGATAAAACATTGGAGCTCCTTTTCCCTCTTCCCTCCCTTGAATGAAGATACAAAGTCTAGAGCTATACACTGACTCTGCTAACATTAGGAAAAGGCTAAGAGGTATTGTCTCCCAGACTGCCAAGTGCTGTTCTCATACCTATAGCTGTCTACTCTGACGTGAGAAAAATAACCTATGTTTATGTAAAACACTCTATGTCATTGCTTTTAAAGCCATTTACAGTGTTTTGGCATTAGTTTAGTGCAATTAAATTGTGATAGTGTGCAAGGTGAATTGGAAGGGGGTAAAAGTTGAGGTGGGTGTCATAGCAAATAGGCCTGAAGTGAAGAGGTTCTGGCAAGGGGAAAAGGACTACGGCAAGGGGAATAAGAGAGAGGCAGACATCTTAGAGAAGCAAAAGGATTCAGCCCAGTTTCAGGGAAGGAAAGATGAAGCTACATAACTTCAAAGTTTCTAAACAGGAAGGTAAGTGGGATAACTATATGTCTTTGGGGAAAGGCAAATGATGATAAAGATGCATTATCTTTGAAGGCATGTTGAGTTTTAGGTGATGATGGGACATCCAAATGGAAATATTCTGTTAGCAGTTGGAATAACAACATTTGAATTCAGGTGAGTCTGTAGCATGCCTATCTGACCGTAGACATGTGCAGAAAGGAAAGCATTAAAAAATGCCTCCAGTTATGAATTGAGAGAAAGAAAGAGGCAATTGTATAAACATGGAGGCAGAGAAAGGAGATTACACAGGGTTAGAAGATTAAACAGGGTACAGTGCTATCAAAGCACAGGGCACATAATGGGGCATCAATAAATGCATGTTGCAGGGATGAATGAGGTCATTATCAGTACCCAGTGCTCTAAAGAGGTCAAGGAAGATGAGACTGAGTTGAAAAGTAAATCTGGTAGGAGTAGGACACCAGTGATTTCCAGGAAAGGAGTTTCTACAGACTTGAGAGCCATATATCAGCTACCCAGCTCTGAGAAGAGGATAGGGTAGTAATAGGTAAAAGGAAGGAGTAGAAGATGAAGGTGTAGAAAAGATCATTCATGGAAACATTGAGAATTGAGAAGGGCTGATTCTTACAGGAGTTGTAGACTTAGCAAGAGGTAGTTCTGAAAAGATTGAAAGCCAACAGGGAAGAAGTTAGTGGAAAAGTCAAAACACACAGCAAAAGTAAAGGCTCTAAGTAGTGTTGGAGAAAGACTTTACTTTTAGGGAGGGTTCAGATGTTTTTCTGAAGTCAGAGGCAAGGATGATGTCACAGGACTTGTGGAAGCCAATGTACTTGGGTATGACTGTTTCCACAGGGTAGGTGAAGCAGGAGTCAGCAGCTGGGCTGGCGGGGGGGGAGAAGTGGAGGGAAGCCTTTGGAGGGATTAAGTTTGGAGCAGCTATGGTGAGGATGTGTGTGAAAGAGGCGTCTGTGCAGATATCAACAGGTCTAACCTAAATGAGATGGCAATAAGCCATCAAGGGAGAGAGTGCATGAGTTTGTATCTTCCTCAGGCAGGATGACAGCAGAGAGCCAGGAGCTGAGGAGGACTCCCAGTATTAAGTGGAGGTTTCATGGCAGTGGCGAAGGTGAAGGAGTTTAGAACAATGTTTCCCCGGAGGGAGGAGCATGAGAGATCTAGTGTGCCAGCAAGAGGGACGATTGGCCAGAGGACAGTTTGAAGAAGTTTGGAGGGTGTGGTAGGGGGAAGTGGCAGAGTAAGGGGTGGTGGCCTCAGAGGAGTAAATGGAGATCTCAGACCTGGAGCAGGACCTTGAGACAGCAAGGCCTAGGCATTGTGTGTCAGTACTTGGACATAGTGGCTTGTTACAAGTAGATTTAATTCTTGTTCTAATATTCCTTTTTTTTGAAGAAAAAAATCTGTGGGCAAAATTACATGGCACTTATTCAAAATATACTGGTGTATTATTTACTTAAAAATACAGTTTAGGTGCTTGCTTTGGCAGCACATATGCTAAAAATTGAAGCAATACGGAGAAGATTAGCATGGCCCCTGCACAAGGATGACATGCAAAGTCGTGAAGTGTTCCATATTAAAAAAAATATACAGTTTAGGCTGAGTGTATATAAAGTGCAACTCTAATGAGCATTATCTCACTTAGGTGAGACTTCCTAAATATGAAGTAAAAAGCTATCTATGTTCCAGTTGTGGATATATTTTGCCCATCCACATAATTAACTATACTCTTGTTGGACTCAGCCATAGGTTTCCAGCAGTGTTCCTGAAATCTGCCTTCCATTCACAGTAGTTTCTCTAGTAATTTCTTTGAAGCATATTTTAAATGTCCTTAAAAAAGCACACTACTTTAATGAGATGGCAGATGGCATGTTGCATGATTTCCTAACTGGTGTTACTTCCACACTGTAATTAAACTGTATAAAAAATTTGCTCTCAACTCAGTAGGAATCCTGTGAAACTCAAGTATATATTAACTTATAAAGGGATCATTTTTGTGCATTGGGACTCATTTTCCATATATGTGTTATAGCACCATAACCATGTGAC